CCTGAGATATTCATCTTTTAGAACATGAACAATCCTAAATACCGTTTTATTCCTTTGCTAGTGTAATTTGCAGTAATGGTCAGAAACTTTTATGTCCTGGACTACGTTATTATTGTAGTAATATTTGATTTAAAACTTGACCACTTATATTTCCAGTCCCTTTCTTAACTTAAAACTCTTTCTTAACAAAAACTTGTTTTTGCGACAAATTTAAAGCACTTAGGCACCAACTCGACTTGTCTAAAGTACCTTTACAGCACTTTCCGCACTGTGTCACACCACACTCGGTTCGAGTCGATAGCGGGAAAACAAACGAGACAATAGCCAAAATAACAAATTTGATGGTAATCCCATGTCAACTTATCAATACAACAAGGTATTGAAGTAATTTGCAATTAGGGTCGGATGTCCATAAGTGTTCGTGCCCATAGGTCTTAAATGTAGTTTGATTCGATTCAGCCTGTAAAACATATCGTCGTTCGATCGCCCTTTCGTAAAATTAGCTTCCGTACTAGAATAATTCTCGTCACAAGAAGCAAACCCCTTTCGGCTACACAACGGCTGGTGAGTGTCTGTGATGCGAAGTTAGAAAACCTTAGTATGGTTGCCTTGAGATTCATAGGAAAACCACGCTCAACTACAATCCAACGTATCATGTGCAGAAAATACGACAGATCTTCAAGCCATAGCCGAATTTACAGATAGAACAGACTACGGTCATGAAGCCGATCTGAGTAACTAGGCTCGCTGAGTACATAAGTGAGATATACACAATATGAACAATGTTCAGCTCCCGAGCAATGAAACTATTTGACAATATCTAACTAGCAACATATCAATAGTATCGTGAACTCTCTGAGTATTCTGATGGCTAGCTAAGTAAATATAATATAATATACTCCCTTCGATCCAACTTTTCACAATAAGACATACTTCGTCAAACTCTGAGGGCCCTACTTGGAGAAATTTCCCTTCCCCGGCCATTGTCACCGCCGTCGGCTGACCAAGTTCCTCGCTTTCATCGCGCCACATAAGTTACAGTAACATAACGGATAAAATACAGAGCCTTTGGTGTTGATCAATCCCTAGGGGATGCACCAAGCATTCGACTTCATTAAACATCGTTAGAGTGGATTGAATGCATATCTGGCCTATATATTCGCGGTAGTCTACCGATGCGTCAAGTCTGCTGCTATCATCCTAAGCAAGTGTGACACCACTTTTCCGACCCCGGATGGATGAAAGTCTTGTTGAAGCAGTGACGGAAGATCGACCCAACGACTACACGTGTATCACTGAGCACCTACAACCGCTTCGCTACACGCGCCCCTACAGTAACTTATATGTGCAAAAAAGTCTCAACGCGTAGACCAGAACACAGATTCCTTAGAACTCTCTCTCCTAAAAAGAAAAGTGAAATATTGGGCAATCCGTTTAAAGCAGTTCCAAAGAAATAACGTTCCTCTCCAAATGTAAATTTTAAAGCGTTGAAAGGTATGCTCTTTTTCTCGAAATATGTGGACCCACTGGCTTACACTATTCGGTTGATAATAATTGACTCTCCTGCGATAACACACTATTCTCCATCGCCGTTAGATCCTTTGTCGTTTACAGTGATCTTAGTGAGAATAAACAGAACATCTACTAGATAACTTCCCAGGGAGAAACAAGTGTGCAACTATGCTTGTATGCTAATGCCATGGATCGTTAACTACATAATGACAAAACTATTTACAGGGTCTGGCAGAGGTCGCAAACAAGCAACGGTAGGCAAACATTGCCATACAAGCGGTGAGCTTGACTTAAAGTACAAATTCTACATGGGAGATAGTCATGATTTCCTCAAATTCTTCTGCTTGAACCGAAAAACAAAAATTTATAAACTTCGATACATACCTTCTCAGTAATTGGCTTTTTATAGCAAAAAGAAAGCGAATGATAGCGCAGTGGTAGCGATGTCGTTCACCACGAGATCGGTGGTGGCTCATTTCACTCACCGATACCTTTAGCTTTCCGGGTAAGGAAAATTGGTAGCAGACTTATCTGGGCTTAACTCATTCCCTCAAATCAACGCATGAACATTCTAGCATAGCTATCTTAGGATTCATGTAAGAATGGACTCAAACCAGGTTTCAACGATATGCATAAAAAAGACAATCCTCAAGCAGCCGCGGAACTCAGACGTGAAAATTAGAAGACTTTCGTGCTTCATGGATGCGAGGAAACGAACAGAATGTAGGAAGTGTTTTCAAAGTAGATATGAGGATGGGTTGTGCGAAAAAAAGTAAAAACAAAAAGACACATAGTATGACAAAGCTGCTCGATACGACGAAGTTTCCCGATCACACTGAAGGCGGTAGAAGTGTCAAAACACGAAGTAATAAACACCAGCATCAAAACAATAGCAAGCAAGTGATGATGTTTTGCCAAATTATCATCACCATGCAATCATATGCTTAAAAGTAAGCTCCTTTCATTAGTTTGAAAGCCTCGAAACAACGCTTTTCCAATTATAGTCTTCTAGCTCCTTTCGTTTAGCAACATTGGAGCATCGCACAACAACCATGGAACTACCACGTCATTCAAAAAAGTATCCTATAGTAAATAAAGGTTAAAACATTGTAATTTCGACTGCAACTTCATCTTAACTGAATCCATTGTCGACTTGCGCTCTCCAGATCATTACCGTTGACGGGGGATAGCTGAGACCACCGTTCGGGCAAAAACTGGCCGAGCGAAAAGAAAACCAAGAGCAGCGATGGCGCTGTGGATAACATGTGAGCCCCGTAAAACGTAAACGCTAGTTTCGAAGTCCCAGCTGAGGTACAAAGTTTTGCCTATCCTCCAGCATCCTTTTAGTTGAAATTTACATAATAATGTATCATGAAAAAAGAATAGCTAGTAAGTAAAAGTTAGAACAGTATACGGTAGCATTTAAGTGAAGAGTTGTACGGTTCGTCTTCACAAGAAGTCGTACTGCTCTCAACAGATTTCCGCAAGTACATTACTGGTCTGGTAAGATTTTTCCCCATCGGCAGTCCCTACTTTTCCAGATTGACGCCGGGGAGAAAAAGGTGAACAGCTGGTGTCAATTAATCACAGCTCCACACCAAAGAGGACTCTCAGCCAACGACAACACGATAACCGATTGGTGGTATGTTGAAGACTTCAGGTAAAGGATTCTTAATAAAAAATCGATATTTTTCGAACTGATCGCCATTTAACCTCGGCGTTAATAATCAATACCTTCCTGGATTAGTAAGCTAACTGAAGGTTAGTTAGAACCTCGCACTTACGAACTTCCCGTTAGTTTAACAATCTAAGAAGGTTACGACAGAAAGTTCACCAAATTTCGCTCTTCAACGGCTCATGAGACTAAATGGGATCAGCGAACAAAAAGAAGACTCTGCCGTGCCTCATTATGCTCGACCTCATCGAAGGACCACGTGATGTTATCGATCCATATCAGCTGATCTTGAATGACACCCGATGCTTGGTAACTCTCAATCTGTTCTTCAACGTCGACCATAAATCTGACTGAGGGGTCAAAACAATTCACATTTCTATTCACTTACATCCATATTCTACAACTTAAACAACAAATTTGTTGTACTTACATAATAAAGTACTTGGCAAGGAACGAGTGGTAGCAGGTTTCGTCTATCACCCTAGAAATATCTCGTTTGTAACGTTTAATCGTTTCCCTTAAATTATGTAACAGCCTTAGGGATTTCACAACAATCTTTCTGATTCCGGATTTAACGCTGGGGTGTACGTCCACTGTATATTCCAAGCCACCTGTTGATTGCTTCTGCTACTGTTGTAAATTCAGTCGAATACTGTTTCCGATAGGTAGAAAACCAGCTGAGAGAAAGGCAAAACAAGGCCTCAGTGGTGCAGTGGGTAACACGTGAACCCGAGAGACGGTAGTCGTGGTTGGATCTGCGCTGGGTCCAAGTATGGCAAAAATTTCAGCACCGTTCCTTCCGATAGGCTACCAATCAGGCATAATATAGTGACAAAAGGAAGAATAATAGACTGTAAAACATTTAAAACACTTAGAATGAGTTTCAATGCAAAAACAGTCTACGGAAAACAAACTTGAAAACGGTGGGGAATGTGATTAATGCAAAGCTCACTATAATTCGGACCACTATATGATATGAACCATCGGTTACTAATGATATGCCATTTTAAAATGAGAACTCGTTCGCGCGCTGTGACTCATTCCGGTGGAATATTCTAGTGGATGACGTCATTAGCCGGTATAAAAGGCGAGGCGAGAGCGCCGAAAGCGCTCGCCCGGTGGCTTCGGCGTTCGGGACCCGTGTCGCATTGTAACCACTCGTGACCAGTTCACGTCTTGTCTGGCTAGGCCCCTTTGTGGAACCGTCGTTATCATTCCGGTGTATCACAAAGGGTCTTTGCATAGGCTTGTTCTGTCCATGAATAGGCCCTCACGGTACTGATCTCTATGTCTAAGTTGTTTGCACCGTCGCTCAATAATATCTCGACGTATCTGCGAAGAGCCCTTTGTTCGAACCCAGGTCGATGTAAAGGCCTACAAGTCGTTCGGATATTCTTTTGCTCACATGCACTTCCGCATATGTACCTGCATTTCTGTCAGAAGTTGGCCATTTTTGGCTGCTCTTAAACCTTGAACTTTCCTAGACAAGTCTCGATTCAAATCTTGATATCCCTTCATCGCTTCAGTACGCAGTACATCTCGGTAGATATATCGATTGTTGTCAACAAAAAACTCCCCTCTCTCAAGCATTGTCCACCCGGGCGCACATACAGGCAGCACCGCGCCGCCATCGATCGTGGGCGGGGCCTATCGATCGATGTTCGGTCGGCTCTGCAGACCGCCATCGCTTGTCATTCCCTTCGTCCATCATCCGGGAGTGGTTGGTGCTTATTCTCCGGTTTGATTTGTTCATGAACCATTCCTTCGTTACATTTTCATAGCGTGTATAAACTCTGTCACGTTGTCAAGCGTTATGTGGCGTAACTTTTGTTTGTTTATTTGTTTTCTGTTTTTCAGCGCACTACACATCGCTATGCAAATTTTCGTGAAAACTCTTACTGGTAAGACAATTACACTCGAGGTCGAGGCATCTGACACGATAGAGAACGTGAAAGCCAAGATCCAAGACAAAGAAGGAATTCCTCCAGACCAGCAACGACTGATCTTCGCAGGTGAGCTTTGCCTATTTCTGTGCGTTTAGGAATATGCTGACGTTTCACCACGTGTTTTCATAATGAGCGACTTGTTTAGGAAAGCAACTCGAGGATGGACGCACTCTCTCTGATTACAACATTCAGAAAGAGTCAACCCTACATTTGGTGCTACGTCTCCGTGGTGGCATGCAGATCTTCGTGAAGACGCTTACGGGGAAGACCATCACCCTCGAGGTCGAGGCTTCTGACACGATAGAGAACGTGAAAGCCAAGATCCAAGATAAGGAAGGAATTCCTCCAGACCAGCAACGACTGATCTTCGCAGGTGAGCTTTGCCTATTTCTGTGCATTTACGAATATGCTGACGTTTCACCACGCTCATTTTCATAATGAGCGACTTGTTTAGGAAAGCAACTCGAGGATGGACGCACTCTCTCTGATTACAACATTCAGAAAGAGTCAACCCTACATTTGGTGCTACGTCTCCGTGGTGGCATGCAGATCTTCGTGAAGACGCTTACGGGGAAGACCATCACCCTCGAGGTCGAGGCTTCTGACACGATAGAGAACGTGAAAGCCAAGATCCAAGATAAGGAAGGAATTCCTCCAGACCAGCAACGACTGATTTTCGCTGGTGAGCTACATCTGTTTTTATAAATGTGAGAAATGTGTTAATGTTTGGTCACCCATTTTCATAATGAGCGGTTGTTTCAGGAAAGCAGCTCGAAGATGGCCGCACTCTCTCTGATTACAACATTCAAAAAGAGTCAACTCTACATTTGGTGCTACGTCTCCGTGGTGGCATGCAGATTTTTGTAAAGACTCTCACTGGAAAAACTATCACTCTCGAGGTCGAGGCGTCTGACACCATTGAGAATGTGAAAGCTAAGATCCAAGATAAGGAAGGAATTCCTCCAGACCAGCAACGACTGATTTTCGCTGGTATGCATTAGGAAATTGATTTCTGTGGCGTTACCGCTTTGCTCTACATAGTGAGCTGGTAATTTATTTTTCCAGGCAAGCAGCTTGAGGATGGTCGTACATTGTCGGACTATAACATCCAGAAAGAATCAACTCTTCACCTTGTACTTCGTCTCCGTGGAGGAAACTAGATAATCTACAATCATTGTTTTTCGCTTTTGTATAAGGGAACTGGTCTCGTGTAATCTTCTCACTGTGAAGAGTGCTGTGAATAAATTCATGAAGTGAAGTATAATGTGACACAAACAGTATAGGAGAGGAATGGTGCACTGCCGCAAGCGGCTGGAGAGAAAAAAAAATGAATTCTTCGTACATTAATTACGGTTGAGAATGCACTTTGCCAGGTATACTGGTAGCAGTGCGTCTCTCCTTTGTTTAATGCGTGACGTTTTATTGGTCAAGAATAAGTAACAACTTCCTAGGGGAGGTTGCTGGGATTTCCAGATTTCTCTCATGTAGCAGTCCCGTGTAGGATTAGGTGCTAAATGGGATGACCTAAAGCAGCGACTGTAAATTTTGTTGGCTCGGTAGGTGGTCCCTTGGACTTGCCATTGAAACGCAGATGGCTTCAGGTAGCATATTGCCTCATGGGTACCTGCAGTACTCTAGTATGCTAATGTGTACAAAACTCGTTTCGATCGACTTGGCGAGAAGGTTGCAATAAAAACAAGTTGAAGAGACGTTTTTGTGGAGTTAAAAATGTTCTGGAAGGAAAGTAATCTCGATAACACCTAAGTGTGACTAAATTCTCATGTTTTTATAATAGCACGGAGTTGCAGGATTAGCAACTGAACGCCAAATTCAGTGCGAGCTTCGCAAAATTCTGTGTAGAAGTGACAGAAAGACTATCTGAAATGCAGATGGACAGCTGGAACTGCATTGGTTGGTGGTTGGTATCACATAATGGGTGATTTACCGAATAGTACCTGCTTCGAATAGCATCAGAATCGAACATAAGGAGAATCTAGAAGCTGTCTTCATCGTTATCCTAACTCGGACTCGCTTTTGAAATGTGAGGATTCTCAGCTAGCCGAAAAATGTAGGATAGAAAGGTAGCACATGAAGGCAGATGACCTACAGAAGACCGACCAATTTCACCGAATTTACCGACTATCGAGCTGTTTCCAAGTTATTCTCAACAGGATTGACAGAGTAGTGAATAAATGTCAGTCAGAGATGAAAAAAAAGAATGGTTTCGAAAAAGGTTCAATATAAGGGATCAAATCCACCCTAGAAAACTATGCCGCTTTTTCTCATCTCCCTCGGGCTTAAAGAATGCCTCGAACTTGGCAGAGATGAGGCAGTTACGAAAGCTGTGAACAACATGGGCACCCTGCTCAGCACATAAACATCCTTCAGCTCCTAACACTTTCACAAATAGAATGTTACCATTCTACAACAAGAGTACCACTTTGGTAAAGATTGAGCCATTATCACCTTCTCAAAACTGTTTACAGTGGCCATCGAAAATGTCATTCGAAAGCTGTTTGTTAAGTGATAGCATGAGAATGAAAGTCGACGACTGGCAGAGAGACCACCTCTGCTTTGCTGATAACATCATTCTTATAAACGCCACATTGAAATTAGCCATTCGGAACGAATCCTTGCCAATGTCATGGGGTTTGGGGAAAGATCGGTTTTCTATAAAATTTTGAGAAAATTGCAGGCTTAGGAGAGGAATTCGTTTCGCATACCTATTTCTGTCCAATGAAGGAATCTTAACTCTTTTATTTACTGCCTTTTTCTTCTTAATGGCAGGGTATGTTGTGAAATATAACTCGTATGAAGTGCTGAGATATCTGCAAAACTCCGGACCACAGGTGTATGCAGTGGAGAACGAACACGCGCTGTTGTCCTTACCGGTAAGGTAAGGTGTTCGTTCTCCACTGCATACACCTGTGGTCCGGAGTTTTGCAGATATCTCAGCACTTCATACAATGAAGGAATATCTGCGAATGTTCTAGCCGTGTATATCTAAGTAAACCAACTAAGGCTTTCCTTTTTCCCGTTCCATATCACAGACATGAAGGACAGAATACGAATCTTTGACCTATGTCCATAACTAGCGACCAGAAACAGCCAAATATGCGGGGGTTCGAAAATCGGATTCAACTAGATACACGGTACGTCCCAACGATGCTCGGTAAGCAAAAGAAGAAACAAACGACTGGATCCAGCGAGAGTGGAAGTGCATGAGAGGATATCACTACTCCAGAGGTCAAAATTCGTAACGAGGATGATAGAGGAAAGGTATGAAAGATATAAGGCAGAGGTAGATAAGGTAAGGTAGGAAGCTAGAGGAAAGGTAGGGTATACCATGCACTATTTCAAATGCACATCTAATTCGCTAGCGTTAATGTGAAGTCTGCACAAACAGTGAAAAAACGGAGTATACCATGATGTTTTCTGCATGTCATATACGGGTTGTTTTCATGGTTGTATGAACGATGAAGGGAATCCAGGCAATAGAAAAAATCGATAACTTGTTTTCTAAATACAATTCAGGTACATTGTTCTCCTGACTTCCAAGCTTCTTCGTGATATTGGAATACGTCGCTTAGTTCAATGGACGAATTTCTTCAAGTTTTTGTCGGTTTCACATAGAACAGTCATTCTCCAGTCACAGTTTCCTGAGAGTACTAAGTGAAATCGACATACAGCTAGAATATTCTTCCTAACGGAATGGAATTCTTTAATGTTCTAGTTGTCCGGCTATAAGCTCCAACGAACAGCAATCCACGTAATGCATTACTATGTATGGACAAATTGCCCATGAAAGACTACACCCTGTGTGAATCCATTGTGACTGGTTACATACGTTGGCATAGGGCATAAAGGATATCCCTCACATAGGTAGACCATGTGGAGGTGGTGTTGCTCCACAAGTGAAAGGCAGAAAGGAAGAGAAATCCGGAGAAAGGTTGGTGATTGTGGAATGAACAGTTCACTAATAATCTTGTGTCTTCTCAAGCATATGAAAACCTAATGATCTATATGAGATTGATGGGAAATTGTAGTGAAATGTTAGACAGAATGTTATAACACTGCCATGGTTAAGACCTCGTGTTTGACATATTTCGAAGATAACCACAATGATGTTGAGTTATTTGCAAAACTTGGACCCCAGATCAGATTACCCATTCCGGGCCTCATATGTTACCCATGGCGCTATTGAGGTCCTTGCTTTGCCTTTCTCTCAGCCAGTTCCACTCCAATGGTGCCATCAGCCCCTCGGAAGGGGTAATCGCGGGTTCGAATCTGGACTGGAGTCCGAATTTTGCAAGTCTCACCATCACTGTTGTTGTATTTCACATAATACCCTGCTGTGAAAAAAATACTAGGGAGTAGACAAAAGGTTAAACATTATGACGCCATAGATATTTCTTCAATTGGTGCTCTTAGGCTTAAAACAGAACCTGATATACAATAAGAACTGCAAAGCAGGTCCACTACCAAACGGTAAGCAGCAAGAGATCGTGTATTCGGAGCAATACAGTAAGTTCCATCCAAAGAAATTCAGAAATGTTACATCCAACTTGAACGAAGCAAATCATCGAATTTTAGGGATTGTGAAATTTAATGGCGAATTCCTCCATGAATGATGTACAGAGTCCTTAGTTACTGAAAGCTGATTTAAAGCACCGCATCATCTAGGTCCTAAATATAACCGTCTACCGTGGTGCTGAAATATTTGCAAAACTCCAAACCTCAGGTGTCAGCGGTGGAGATCGAAAACGCTACTACCCCTTCCGGGGCTAACGCGTTTACCACCACACCATGCGGGTCCGTCGTTTCGCCTTCCTTTCCACCATCTATTGTTAAGGCGTGTTTCTGGTCAATTTCATTTGCAGTCATGTAAAAGGCGATGCAATTTTCTTTACACGATCCCTCTGTCACATCTAATGCACAGGTCAAAGCACTTCTTGCATTCGATTTGGTTCCTCGCATCCATCATCTAAGAACACCTTCCAAATTTTTGCTTATGGGTTCTGCCACTGCCTGTGGATTTCGCTTTCGTCATGAATGTAGCTGAATTCTGGTCGAGTCGATTCTTCCTAGAGACCTGAGATAGCCGGGTTAGAGCGTTACCAGATGGACTGAAAATGGTGGACTTTCTTCCAGACAAGTTTGGTACAAATTCAGCAACTAATGAGTAACGACAGGCTTGGTGGGCTCGAGACTAATCGGCTTACCACTGTTCAACCTGCTTTCGGATTCAAATTAGTAAGAACAACAATTAAGAAAACTCAAAAATGCGAACACCCTTCACCAGTTCTGAACTATATTTTTCTTTCAAAATGTCTAAAGAACCTTTCCAGACAGTCAAGGTATATTTACATACGGGACTATTGTTGATCTACATTATCAGAATAACCGCTACCAGCAATCAGGCAGCAAACCACGCTTTACCGGTTTTCTGATCAAATTGTCCCCGAACCCACAAAACTTACTTTTTTTTCACCGCCACAACGTACTTTCCTCTTTCTACGAAGTGGCAGGCAATTGTGTCTAGTTGCTCCCTATAATCGTCGTAAATTCATCGGGATAACAATGCTGACTGAGTTTAGCACAAAATGCCATTCTTAATAGCTCTTTTTCGAACACTAGTGTTGGCTAAAGGAAGCGCGTGTAGCGCAGTGGTTAGAGATGTCGTGCAATACACATTAGTTCGATCCCGCACCCCATACCTACCAAACCTTCTTTCCCGTCGGCATTGGTACCGAACTTGTCCGGAAGGATAGCAACACTGGCTCGATACATGGGTAGGCCATTGGGAGTTATCGTATAGGCCAAATATGCATTCGTTCAACTCTAACGATACCTGATGAAGTCGAATGTACGGCGGATCCATCAGGGATTGATCAACGCCGAGAACTTTACCTTTTGTGCTTTGTGACAAATACGGTGCTCTAATCGAACTGAATGTTACGACATCATAAGAGGTTCGGTTTTCAGTTTCTTCTAGATCTTATGAAAGAATCGTCCTTAGTTTTCTTTTCTCAAAGGCAATCTCTCTCTTTGACACTTGTCTCAGTACATGAGTCGCGGTCTTGGCTGAAATCCCCATCATTGACCAATTTGAAATGTATTGTCAGCAGTTCCTTTCTTCTTAACGCACACTAATCTCTTT